TGGCCCCCCCTCGAAAGCCATTTTTTTTCGCATGCCCCCCCCCAAATCCCACCAGCCCCCCCTACCTGATAAAAAATGAACGGTCCCTAACAAACATTTTCTTACCTTTGGACTGTCGTGAAGAGTGCCAGTAAACCATTGATAACTATACCGTTCCACCCAGCAATCGTCGATTGGGGAACCTTGCGTAGCTATGGCAACAATGGTTACCTTGGCTGCAAAGTTCACTCTCAAGTGCTCAGTATCTTTATTTTGGGTCGGCATCCAACAGGACGTTCCGTTCAGACGCCCTTTTGCTGCTTCATAACCAAGCTTTTCAGTGGAAGCTTCTATACTTGCGTCAGGAATGTGATTATTTTCCATCCCCAGGGCCTGAAGATCTGATAAAAATATTGGATTTTATCGTAGTAAGATATCTGACTACTGCTCGCCCCATTTACTCTTTTTTTATTATCATAAAGGTTACGAGCTGACGTTTCGGCGTCATCGTGACACCAGTCTCAAGGCAAAGCGAATAAATTAATGCGAAGATCTGATTTTGATAGTTCACAGTCTCTAAAAAATAGTATAATAACAAAGGTTCACAAGAATGGTGTCACTATGACGCCAAAACGTCGGCTTTTAACTTTAATATTCGCTTGTTTTTGTTTTAAAAAGTCATTATTGATCAAGAGTTTATTATTATATATTATTTAATTACCACATACTTAGAATACATACAAGACGACTACTTATACTCCTTAGGATACAGTGCGTCTACTTGCACCTCTCGCCTCTTTTATTTCACAGTGTTTCAAGAAGCTTTATTTCACTTATCCTTTAGATTTGCATTTCATCCACCCATCCATCCATCCATTCATTCATTCATTCATTGACCTTCATTCGTTCGTTTGTGAGTTCTTTCGTTCGTTCGTTCGTTTTTTCGTGGGTTGGGTTAAACATTTAATTTTAGCTAGCTGACATTCGTCGATCTCGTGTCACGTCATCTTACTACTCCTCGAGTGGAGTGAATTGCACTTGGTGTAAATATGACTCGCTTGATAAAAACTCTCTTACTTTGACAGAGAGGTCCACTGAATCCTTTCAGACACTTGCACTTTAAGCTAGGACTGAGAACACAAGTTCCACCGTTCTCACAGCGCATGCTCACGCAAGGATCATAACTTTCGCAGCGAAGTCCACTGAATCCTTTCAGACACTTGCACTCTAGAGAAGGACTGCTAACACAAGTTCCTCCGTTCTCACAGCGCATGCTCGCACAAGGGTTATAACTGCGAATCACCATACCCACGTAAAATGCTCCCTTCTGTTTCACCAAGTCACCAGGAAAGTATTCCTTGGTTGCGTCGTTCAGTTGACACGTTTTGCCCAATGAAATGTAGTTGACACTGAAGCATTGCGGCTCCAGTTCACAGGAAAATGTGCAGCTCTCAAAAGACTTGTGATTGAGAGTCCGCATCACGTGACCGGTGAGAACATGATCTGTAACTGAAAAACTGGAGCGACACTCGCTAGCAACACTGCTCCTGTAAAAGAGGCTGATGTAGAGTAAGACAAATTCCAAGTACAGCAACATCCTCGGTGCCTCTTGAAATAATCACAGGACCTGCAGTAATAGGATATAGTGTGTCGACATAGATTTTACTATGATATAAATATGACGGGAGTTATGAAAACGCGTTGAAAGAGAAGAGCGCTCTTTTACACTAAGTGATCCACAGACTTGGATTGTACGACTCCTAAAGGCCCAAATCCATCGTCTAAGCTACTCAAATGTACTTAAGACGAAGAGGAGAAGAGTGCAAAAAGGAAGAAAAGAGGGTTCAGGGAAAAAATAGCAATGAAGCAAGGCTGGTTACTGCGAAGAACACTTAAGACAGCAACAACATGCATGACAGAGTCCAAACTGAAAGCCAAGAGTTACAACCGTGGACGGCTGTTTCGACCAAAAGACTGACATTCCTAAGATTAGAACTTTTATATTTTAATTTCTAGACTACTTTTACACCAAGGTGAACTTTTCTTTAGCATGGTTTTCATAAAACCAGACATAAATACATATAGCAAAAAGTTGGGTCACATGCTAAACAAAAGAGCTAGAGTCTGTATACCTGAAAGACCTCTAAGAGGTGTATCAGTGTATGCGCTTCCTTAAACCGCAGATCTACTCACCTAGTGTGGGTGAAGTTTATACCCCAGAGCCCCCTTCCCACCTCTCCTACAGCCGCGATTATCCCGTACATGAATCGCAATTTAGCAATCAGTTGTCCTTAGGCCTAAATTCAACACTCGCCGACATTAGCAAACCGGCACGATTACCTTGCTCTGCACGTGCATTATACATTCCGGCGAACCGCGACGACGACATTTCTCGTTGAACTTAAAATTTATATTCAGCTCTAAAATAGTTTCACACGAAGAAAAACGGTTATGCAGAATGGATCCATACAGGTAATGTCGACAAAATGACGACGGGTGTTAGTATTTAAGGTTCGCAACAATTCAGTATTTTAGGGTCAGCTTACTAAGGGGTAAAGCAGAAGTTTAGTTTACGTTAACGTTGGTTTTCGGATTAGGGTTAGGGTTAGTCGTATCAAATATTGTTAGGGTCGCTCTACAAATATACCTTCAGGCATGAGCGATAACTTCACCCGTTATCTCCACATCCCTAAGTAAGTTAGTTGAGTGACACTCCGCGGTTCATAGTAGGTACGCATGTGTACCACGAAGCCTCTCCTATGCATTGTCAAATTTTGTAACTCACGAAAAACAAGCATCGAGGATTAACTCTTGAATGAAGCGGAGAGTACATTAGTTATTTAACAAACACAAAAAAATATTCCTCATCTGACTTAAAGTTAATTAACTGCGCTTGAGCTATTTATTTTCAGTCTTTTGAGTTTATAGATATCTCTTACCTTCAAAATTAAATTTCTGACGGATTTGTTTTGTGCCAGCTGAAAATTACTGTTTCTTCGCATTTGCGTTGGTAGCAATATTTATTTTATTCAACAGACCTCTGTTACAAACCCATGAACATCAGATTATTTGTACTGAGAAATGAAAAAATACTAAAGACTTATATGTTATGCGGGGAGTTTCGTCAAAATAAATTTTGGTAACGCAGTTAACGTTCAGTGGGTTTATGTTCAGGTTTTAGAGAGCAATATTCTGAGTTTCCCTTTGCAGAATGACACAATGTTACTACTATAAAAACATGCTTATGTTTTGACGTAAGAAAAAATACTATTTTAACAGCTCTTTGTAAGAGCTACTACTGTTGAAGATGAGCTAAAAGCATTGAGAAATTTAAATACTTTTCTACGTCTGCGCAAAACCCGTAACAAATTAACCATAAGCGCTGACGGCAGAATATCTCAAAGATTTTATGATAGACTGAACTATAAATTAAGCTTAAATAACTACCAGTTTGTCACTTTTTTCGGTATTTTAGCCTTTCGTTCTTAGCGGCAGCGCCAGGGTGTAAATATTCAACCCCATCTTGTTTTGAATTTGTTTGGTGTTAGAGCGGGCGCAAATGAGCAGAAGACCTAAAGTTCTTCAACCTTTAAAAGGAACAAATTATAAAAGTAAATGAACGAGAAATGATTTACCTTGCTTAAACGCCACTTGTATCCTGGGTTTTCCTCTTGTTACTAACCGCAATTCTGAAATTACTGCTCCAATTTCCCCCTTCAGTCACCAGAAAATAACATTGATTTTAACTAATTTACTCAATTTGACAGGGTGAACTCAGTCTCCATTCGTTGGATTGACATTTCAAGTAGCTTTCCAGTAAAAGAACAACAAAGTAAGGTGCTATCGTTATTAAATTTAACCCATGCCTGGTATCAGCAAATAATGCAATAAAGGGGAAAATACGTGTTGTTTGACGAAAACCAGCATCTGTAGCTTGCCTCGGAACTAAACGGTTTATACTAAACATAAAACATGGCCTTCCATTTCTTTAGTTTGAAAGTTAACCTCCTAAAAGTGCAAGACTTCAATGTTTAATATGTCAGTAACGTGACGAAAATTATTACGGTTTTCATTGAGTAAACTATGACGTACATTGCTGTTTCATATTTTCGCTTGAACCAATTTCGCGAAAATGGGCGAATTTAGCGAGGCCTAATTTTGCAATTTGCCAGCTGATTTCCTGAGACTTCATCGAGACGACTTTGAAGTAGCCTATTTTAAAAACAGGAAGGTTATTTAATTGAACGTTGCAAAATTGTAAAAAAAAACAATGGTTTTAAAGATACTGAATACAGACCGATAGACAGCTGGCTTACCAGCAACACGTCGGTGTCTGGAACGATAATTATTCAAGCCCGCCGATAAATTCCTTGACGTTATTTCTCAATTCTATTTTACATTACTGACGGATCTTTTAACGATGTTTACAACTTAACTGTCAGTATACAAAGCCAAGTAATCGTTCATTAACAAAATACTGAAGTTACTAAAGCCATGCACCCGTAACAAGGCGCGACACTTTGATATAACTTAAATTAGCATAATTAAGGCGCGATTTGTTGAGTCTTGTCCACTGAAACCCGAGACAAAATTATCATAAATTAAAATAATTTAATCACTTCTGTACATAAATAGATGAAGAGAGTGAAACAAACAATCTGTAAAATCGTATCTCCACGTTAAGTGATAATTTATTTGGAAGTTGCGTTGTATGTTCGCTTGAACACCACATTAGAACGCAAAGCTCCTTTCAGTGATACCACTTTTTGACAGTCATCCAGCTTTCCGTCATCAGAGTGTGTTACTGGATTAGGATTTTATGACGTAGAGTTAAGGTAAGTCCTAAACTACTGACTTTGAAGAACGGAGGCCATTAGAAACCTATTTAGCTAGCTAACCCAGCTTCTGTATTACAACCGACCAAGAGTACGTTGAAATTTCTGGAGGATACTTTGACCGCAATGAAGGGATTAACGAATTTTCTGCAGCCAAAGGACTAGACATCTATTTGCAATATTGACAGCCCGTCGTTTCCGGGCATATTAGGCGAGATCTAAAGGTTTGTATCATCCGTTTTCTGTTCAACAAATTCCCTCTGTAAATCCATCGAATCGTAAGGAATCGAGTAAAGTTTTTGAACACGTATCCGGTAAAATACGTACATGTGGCGGGAAGTGTTGAATTCTATTACTAATAAGTTGTAGCTTGCGACCATGGCAGTAATAACAACTTCAAACTGTTTCTCGGTGGAAAAACTCTTTGATCTCGTCTTGTTGCTAAGAAACTTAGGGCCATAATTTGACAGTAACTATAAAGTCCTATCTTTAACGCAATTTCAGTGCTTGCCGGAAAATATCAACTGACGTCATGTAGTGATTAGCGTGCAGTTGCGCGCATTTTCAGTGTTGTGCTTTGTAAATTGTTTTTTTTTATATAGAATATAAAACATCCAGCTAGACGTTTAGAAGTTTACAAGACAATTGAAACGCTATCTTAAATGGCGAATATCTCATTTGTGGTGTGACTGTTAAAGCGAAATTTTCACTCCATCGACATTATAATTTAAAAGTTTATAGTCTTTATATGTATTTCAGTCAATTCTTCCGGTTTAACTCAGTGTTACTCGGTAAATGCTGTTAAACCGAAACCTATATTGCTTTACGTCTTGATCTTGGGCGTTTTTGACCATTCTAGAGAATAGATACATCTGAAAAGGAAATTCCAAGGTGCACACATCACACGCAATTAATGACTTTGTTTACAGCTTGTATATGTCAGTGATCACAGCTCAGGGTGTAGCACTCTACTAATTGAGGAGAACTAAATTTTCTTACAACATTTAAGAAGTAGAAAACAAGTACCGCGTTTCTATTGAGTATAAGTCTACTAGCGTTCTATCACGAATGCCGTTCTCTGATTGGCTACGCTACTCACTATCTATCTGTGATAGATAGTGAGTAGCGTAGCAGTTTGCGCTTGTTAACAAAATTACTTCAGTTTCTTGGCGTTTTCGAAGTGTCCATGAAGAGGATTAAGACACAGTTTTGAAAGACTAGTACTTATACTAAAACAATTGGGTTATTCGCTCTCGATTTCTATCACACGATAGAAATCTAGAGCTCATAATCTAATTATTTAAAAGAAACACGAGTGAAAAATTGGGGGAACGAAAAAAGCTGTGGAAACACGAGCCGACAGGCGAGGGTTTCCACAGCTTTTTCCAGAGCTTTTTCCTGAGCTATTTTTTTAAAAAAAAATAACAGTAAATAAGTCAGAGTGAAATTTTACTAAGCTAGTCTAGCTACGACAAAATAATCAATATCTATGAGAATGTGACTAAATTCCAGAGCAATGGAGCTGAGTTTCTCAGCTTCTTTTTAGTAGCAAAACCAATGCCTTGTGTCCCATATGTTGCAATTTGCTTAATATCCGTTTCCACTCAGTGCAAAATTATATCACAAGGATACTTCTAAATCTGGAGCGGCCTGATCTGTAATCTTCTTACACCGCCTGGCCGCGCTAAGCTCCTAACATAGTTCAAAGTGAGGATTACGGGGGAACGTAACGTTGGGTCTGCGGCAAAACTTCTTCTTGAGTCTAGGGTTGTATACATCGAAATGAGTGGGAGCATTGATCTAGGACGACAGCCAGTGCTTCTACAGTTACACTCCTTATAAACTGACAGTATGCGCTCTACCCAGTGTGTTAGCCCCCGAGTAAAGTTTTAGTACTTACACCTGGTCACATAATAGAACCAAAGAATATAGACAACATCAAAGGAAAACTTGCGTGTTGAACATTCTCAGTTAGCCCTCGCCCGTGTTCAGTTTTTGCTCTTGGAAAATTTGAGTGCAGATTCATCATTTTTCTGACGGAGCATTTCGGCTGGTGATAAAGCTATCAGTCATCACTGGACATTGATACGGACCCAAAAGTTTAGGCAAGCAAGAAAACTGTTTTTATCAAAATGTAATTTCTCCTTAAAGCATCAGCACATCAGCAAGCAGCCAAGTGATGAGAATAAAGAATATCACTAGAACCATGAGATATTGTCGCGGGGTGCCTCCATAAAAGTCCGTACTATGACGAGGTAAATCTTGTTACTTGAAGCGTTATATGTGTCCTGTAATTGTCCTTTGCTTTCTCGGTTTTTAAAAGAAACTATAATAAACATGATTTGTGTGAGTATGAGATCGTAAATCATGGGACTGATAGCGGTAGCTGTAGGTTCCATTATTAAGAATGACGAGAGTACCTTGAGAAAATTGTGTCGTGTCCGCTATTTACGTAAACCGGTCGACTCGACTGAAAAAAAGACAACAGTTTACATCGTATGAAATATTTTTTCCAACATTCGGTGCATTGTACTTGGGACTAAAAACATTTTTGAACTCTGTTTCATTAGACCTTTTTTGAAAACGCAATTATCATCTGAGAGTACATCTATTTCAAGATTATTCTTCTTTTAATATATAAATAGCCTTTTTCTAAACAGCATAGCTTGAGGGCTTCACCAACAAAAAAATTAACCCGTTCGACTGTGACAAATTCGAGGCACGAGAAATAGGTTTGTTCGGTTTCGATTCATTGAATTTTCATTTTACATTTGAATGCGATCCGTTTGCAGCCAGCTACTAATGAAACTACGATAATAATTATGCACAGCCGAAAACTCTTCGCTGCATGTTTAGTAAGTTTATTATCAACATAAATTAAGTCTGCCTGTTTGGGTCATGCACGCCAGTGCTACCAATCATGAACGCTCACGTGGTTTCTGCTAATTTATGATCATAAATTATCATTAAATTACTGTCAGTGATTAATGTACCTCGAAAAATCTGAATTACCGACCAAGAAAATTGTTATTTAAAACAATAATCCCACCGTTTTGATGTTTTTCTTTTTTTTTTTTTGGATCATTCTGTCTTAAAGAATTTGTATATTTTCAGATCTCCGTTTTCTTAAAGTTTTTCTATCTCAAGGCTCGCTACGCCAAAAGCGTAAGTTTAGATAATTAGTCAGGGGCAAAAACTGACGAAAATTTGCATGTGAAGGTCAACAAACTTAGTTTCACTCCATTATTACACAGATAGAAAAAAAAGCAATAGAAGATCGCGCACTCCATTGCAATTAGCTAATATTACCTGAAAACAATAAAATTTACACGTTAAAGATTTATTTCACCTTTTATGATATGGAATCGGGCATGGAAGACTGAACTGTAGCATTGAGTTCTGTTTGTGTAAATTGTCTAAATTATGTTAACATACCTTGAAAAGCTTGAAATTATTTAAGCTTTCTCTTTACTTAATGCTCTGGAGGTTTTTAGAATTTCAAGGTCAAGATTTCTAACGTGTTATTCACTCAAAAAAATTAAGTACTGTTCCGCGCCAGTTCTTTAGTGCGCCATTTTTTTCGCGCCCGGTCAAAGGCTAATTATGATGTATACTGACTGAAAACGTGTATTTAGCTCTGAGTGCAACTCTCAAAGGAGCATTCACAATAAAACCTGCTGAGGGTAGGAGCAATAACAATACAGTAAAGTAAAATTTATGTTCTGTGAATAATTCCAAACCCTTCGTGTGAACGGCTGACACGAAAAATCCACATCTAGGCCGACAGAGCCAGAACGAGGTGGAGTCTGATCTCAAATCAGCTGGAATATGATTGTCGTCGTGTACGCTGGGTCGAAACGCAATTTGGCTTTGCTACAGACCGCCCGCCAAAAGTTATATCGCTTTGTAGGTAAGGATGTAAAAATATTAAAAGATGTGTACTACGTAGCACGCGGTTAAACCGACGGACTTGTAGTTTCTGCGCCATTCAGTCGAGTTGTCTGTTTTACGTAGTGGGAAACTACAATTCGAATGGTTAGCGGTTTAATATGACGTTCGATTCGATAGCAGATTCATGAAATCAATATTATTATTGTTTGTTTCTATGACATTTAGAAGGAAGTTTTTTTGCTAAGTTACACTCTTTGAGAAAAGACTTCTATTTCAACCGTATTTCATATCTATGGTCATCTATAGCTTGCACCTAAAGTTGCTTGTTTTTACTTAATTTTGGGAACAGTACTTTGGTAAACGGTACATTGAGATCTGATTGACTTAATTGAATGCAGTTTCCAGCAGTAAGAGATTTACCCCTGAGTCCAGCGCATATTATGCACCTCAATTTTTCACTCCAAAATAAAGATAAAACGATTCTAGTATTATTGTTATATATAACAACTATTAGCAAATGATTTATCCAAAAAATTTTAAACTTGTGGCTAAGCCCGCATTTCTGGCTATTTTCCAAATTCTTTATTGCAGATGTTTTTTTTTTAATTTTCTTCGACTGAAGGGCCTAACACTTGCGAACTGCTTTACTATTTTGCTATAAATCACCGGGATATTCAGAACTGTGCTGTTTTCTGGTAGAGACTTACCGGTGTAGAGAGTTATTCACTGTACCAGAATCAGTGCGCGCAATGGTTTCGCAGTGTGTTTAAATTGACTACTAAACGAGCACGTAAGTTTGCTTTGTATCTGGTTTGCAGAATTTTAAAATGTCAAGATTTACAAATGGCTTCACTCTATGAACAAATTAATTTGGACGTTACGTTGGGTCATGTCTCTTTTGGAGAGATTTTCAAATGCGCAAATCATTTATAGCTGTTTTATCACGAAGGCAATAAATGCGGTCTTTTTGTTCTCAAGAAACCTTAGTTTTATCTATTCCTATTTACTAGATAATATATATACTCATCCTGTCCAATTTTCATACGTTAATCAGGCAAAACGGCATCCCTACCTTGCAGCGAAATCTAAGCTGAATTTTCGTCAACTAATCTTAAACAACTTGAAAGTACTGTTCCCTTAAGTAAAGCGGAGTCCCCGCGAAACTGCAAATGCCTGCGGGGAAATGAAGCAGGAACAAGCCCCTTCCTGTGAGTACGCAAAGGAAGCATGTGGTGGTGCACACGAAATGCAAGTAGTTTAAATCTTTATGTTGTAGCGAGGACAGTTTGCAAGAGTAGCGCACACGAGTGTGACATAGAAAAGTGAGATCATTTTGTTCCTGCTTCATGAAGCAAGAATTTAACTGAATCAGCTAAATTTCATGCAACATGTTACGAGGACATAGTTTGTGCTCACAACAGAACATATTCTCAAAAACGGGCATGATATACACGAGCAAAACTATCGCTGCCGGCGGCATATCACAGCAAGTGAGTCTAACATGTCCCCTATAATGTGCCGACCTTCTTGAAGTGGATCGATAAGAGAAAAGAATGGTAGTGTTAGCCTAATTTTCATTCGTGTCTCAAGTATAGCTAGTTGTTAACCTTATCTGTTGGTGATAATTTTATTGCTTATGATCTCCGACAGAAATTTCTTGTCTATGGGTACTTCGTATTGCATTGGAATGTTTGCGTTCAATCATTAGTTCCCATTTCCTCGCGCACCGGGTATATCAGAGGATTGCGTGCAACGTCGGTCGTAATATTGCCAGTTTGATTCTCTTTGGATCGAGTGAAACAGTTATGCGGCCATTCCAAGTAGTACAAGACTATGATTTACGTGAGCGCAGTCAAAGTATGAAATAAGTATGAGGCTGTGTCGATAATAAATACTCCTATGGAGATGCTTGCCGCAGAATTGTCAGTTCAGAGGTTATCTCAAGGTATCTGTCGGAGTTGAACGTTTTTTTTATAATCTAACGCGCGATTTTGAACGAGTGGCTGAGATCGGAAAATTAGAAACAAAAGTTCGAAACAGTTTTTTTGCTTGTTTCACAGATTAATTTTGGCCCCAGAAATTATTTCAACTTCGGAATTCGGAACCGGCAACTTGATAAAACCTCGAATAGCGTCGAAAAAGACTTTGTTTACTAACTTGCCGCGCCGATAATTTGAAAACATTTCCCGCCTTCATTTTCCCGCGCAAGGTGAGCAAAGGTTAATGTATTACAAAAGTGTAATCCAACTTCCGCTGTAACCCAAATTTGGCATATAATAGTTGTAAATTTCCATATTTGCCTTGTTTTACAAGCGGAAGTGGGCTGCATAAGCGAAGGCGCGAAATGTTTTTACGGGCATGTCGTTGTGAATCTTTGAGTATTTGGGGCTCATTCAGTTTTTCCTTTAAACGTCGGTAAAAGGAAGTGAGCATTCTACACAACAATGTTCAGGTGTTCTAAATATCTCTTTCCTCGAGACAACAGGTGAGTAAGTCGGAGTTATGCCGTTGGACCCAAAACGCGTTGTGTACGCTACTCACTCGAACTTAATCTCGAACTCAATTTCGAACTCGTTTGTGCTTCATGTGAGCAGTGTATACACTTCAATATACTTATTTAGAGAAGTAATAAACCTCCTCTCTAAACAAGAAAACACATTGTTACTGTCAGATGACTGAGATATGTTTTGAATGTGAGACAATTTTGCGCCATCTAAATTCTATTGCGCATAATAACTTAATCCGTTGCAGGTCAGCTGGATTTCATTGTGAGTCACTGAACCTTATAACTACCCAATTTTCATAGACATCACGCTCGTTGAACAAAGTAAACCTGTCAGTATTGAGATATTTTAGGCTTCATTGTTCGTTTGGGGGGACTTTGTGGCAAATTAACGTAAAAACATGTAACAAGCTGCTTAGACTATTTGCGCTAATGCATAAGCTACATACAGGCCGTAATAAGCTTAAAACTCTGGGTTTTCTTTCCCGCTATTTCTCTGGTTTAAAAATGTCATTCGCTAACGCTCTATTTGTTTTCAAATATGCTTGCTACAAAAGGTGTTTTCGTCTAAAAATGAAGTGGTTTTGGCATGCTTGTTTTTCTTAGCTCAATTAAAATTCATCCAATTTCTGTCAGCCCGCGTTTTGTCGCCATGCCATATACAGCGTAATGTAAGCTTTAATTTTTTCTATTTTTTTTTTTTGCATTCATAGTTTTAATCATTCTTATGCGCCATATTTGACTGTGTTCTTCTTTTGTCTGGTTATTTATTTAACAATAGGTTGATTATTTTGTGCATTTTTTGTTTGGTTATATGTTATATTGATTAATTAATTTATGTTTGTTTACTTTTATCTATTAATGTTTCTAGAGGGTTTAAGGTCATTCCTTACATTTGCATCACGCATCCTTACTGCACATAATTTAGGGCGTCATTAGCACACGCTCATGCATGCGCATATTGAAAACATGACGGATCTGCCTTGATATTGAGTTCTGTCATTTGAAAAATGGCTCTAGCTCATCAACGATCATGAGAAACAATTTTTTTTCCTGTCATTGTAATCAACTAATCATAAGCTTTGCGTGAGAAAAGACTGATCTAATTTCTATTGCTGAAAACTGATTAAATAAGAAAAATAGCAGATACACTGGTCTTTTCTATTTTGCAGTTTGGTAACCACATCAAGAAATTTGGTTCAAATTTTTAATCAAGGATTTAGCTTTCTGTCTGAATCAAACTTAAAATNTATGCCTATTGTTGCCTCAAGCAACTTGCATGTTTCTTTCATACTCTCAGAATTTCCCATGTTGATCATGAATCAATTATGACAATTGTTATTGCTATCTTTTCTAGCAAAAATCAGTCTTACATAGAACCAAACAAATCTTAAAAGCAGTGGCATGGTTTTATTTGTTACAGATGACATTTTACTGTGCCTCAGATTAAAATCCTTACAAATGGAAGCTAAAGAATCATTTGATCAACTTTGCCAACTACTACAATTGGAGGAGGGATCCAGGGAAAGGGCTTGGAATGTTTGGAAGTCTGTTTCAACAAAAGTTGTAGAAACTGCACAGGTACAAGTGCTCTGATTATGTGCTATTTAGTTTTAAACATGATGGTTGAAATAACTGAACTTGAATGCATTTGTCCAGGACAGTATCCCTCACCCCCCCCCCCCCCCCCCCCCCCCCCCCCCCCCCCCCCCCCCCCC